GTCTAGGTTTGGAGGTTCAAATAAAATACAAAATAATGTTTCTAGCATTCGTGCACAGTGAGTTACAGGCATTTAAAAGCAAGCAATGCCACTTGCGTTTCTTTTGGAAGCCACTATATATGACATGAAATAGAGGTGCAGTATTACGTCACATCACGTGAACCTTTGAAAATGAACTCAATTTTTTGTATCCTTTTAGGAATAACAATTTCCGGTTTTTCATCATACCATACTTCAAGACATTATTGGGGTGCACAGTCAACTTAATTTAAACTATTTTATAATAAATTTATTATTAACAAAGTGATATTTTCTTTCTTTAATAACTCTGAATCTTTCTTAACATTTTTATTTCAAACTTTGCGAAATTACTCCAAATATCTGTCGCTTTCACGAAATAGATCTTTTTTTTTTTAAAAAAAAAGTCATTAATACTTCGAAATTAATAAATTAAATCTTCCAACCATAACGATAATAAAACATTTTTTTCGTAAGTTTTAAAAAAAATGAGGTATTTGATGCTTCTTAAAGATATCATGTATCTATTCAACTTTACGGTGTTACTTAAATGCTAATAAGCGTAAGTTATTAAATTTAAAGATTTTGGATAAAATGACTCAGCCTTCAAAACAAGCCTGCCACTTGAAAAAAAGCACGAGAAATAGAAACCCAAAACTAAATATAAAGAAAAATGACAAAAAAAGAAAATTGATGAGATTATAAACAAAATGGATGAACAAAAACTTGACAATACTTTAGATTTAATAACAAAGCTGACAGAATCAAGCAAAGAATGAATTAACTTAATTTCTTCAGTTCAAAAATTATCTGAAGAAGGGGTTCCAACAGCAAATCATCTCATTAAACCATACGTTATCCTAAAGGTCCAAATGAAGGCAAACCTATTTCTCCTTACCTTCAAAACATGACATGATGGAAACCAAAATTAAGCAACTTCAGCAACAAAATAATAATCTTATTCATCATACTGATGATCAAACACATCATCTTCGCAACCAAAAATCAAAACATATACTGTATCTGAAATTAGGTCTTTAGTTAGACAATCACATAATATTACTGATGCTACATTTAAAGTGAAAATCAAACCTATTTTTAAAACAAATAAACAGAAATATACTTCAAGTACAGTTTGGCTTGCTACTAGTATTTCTCAAATAGATCAATTATCAATACGCTCTACAGTTGGATGTATAAAATTAATTTATGAATATTTGATCAGAGAGGAATCTCGCAATTAGCTATCTATTTCTACACTGCATACATAGCATCAAGATGTATCTCATATTCATGTCAGCTTTCAAATATCTAAAATTGTAATAGCAACAACATTTTCTATTATGATTGATGAATCAACTCGTGGAGAAATAAAAAATTTGTTCTTTGTTATCTGGAGTCAAAAAAATAATGCACCAATAGTAACTATGTCTCAATTAATAAATATATTAAAGCACAATGCAAATACAGTTTCAATTACAGTAATTAACATTATCAATGAAGATAGTTTAGATATTAAAAAGTGTTCTTTATGGATTACAAATAATACTGCATATCTTTTAGGTGATAAAAAAGGTGCAGTTGTTCTTTTCAATAAAAAAACTGGATTAAATGTATTTCGAGTTGGTTATACTTTACATATTATACAAATTGTATTAAATCATTTTGAATAAGAGATTTTTGCCAAACTTTTAAATACTACAGGATTTTTGAGAGTATCACATCCCTATAATCTTCTTTATTTAGCATAGAAATTGCATGATAGCTACAACTTAAGATGACACTGTAATTAAGAAGTTGCAACTCGATAAGTTGCAACTCCTTGCAAAATTTATTTTAATATAAAAATTCATAAATAATTACAACTCAATGAGCTGCAACTCAAGTTGCAACTAGTTAAAAAATTTAAAATTAATTACAGTTCCATCTTTAGCTACAACTCTAGCAATAAAGATAAACCATTAAATATTAATTCTAATATTATTCGAAATTTATATGATGGTTTATTTGGTTCTATTATAATCAATACCAATTGTCACTTAGATCACATTGGGGTTATGAATTACAAATTGCAAAGCAGTATCAAAATCAATGTAAAAGTCACATTCAGTTTGCTTATTAGTTTATTGATAAAATGGAAATCACAAAACTCCAAAGTCATACTTAAATGATTGGAATCTTTTTGAATCTTGGATTAATGATACTAAATTAAACATTGAAATTAAATGTTTTAATAAATTTTGCAGAACATTTTTATGAAATACTAATGCAATTTGTAGTTTGTCAAAATCTAATTTCACAAATTATTCAAAATGATCAATTAGTTTATTGCTACTAGAGTTTCTCAAAATTGAATCAAATCAAATATTTAAACAATTTGAATTTGATTTGATTTTTTCAATTGAATCAAATCAAATTGAATTGAACTCAATTATTTGATCAAATCACATTGAATCAATTTAAATTTGATTGAATCAAATCAAATTGAATCAAATATTTGTCGAATCAAATCAAAACAAATCAAATATTTGATCAAATTGATCAAATTGAATATAAAAATGTTTTAATTTTTACAATAATATATTAAATAAAGTTATTCTAAAGTTTTAATTAAGAAAATTATTAGTAACTGTACTAAAAAATTTCAAAGATAACTTTTACAAAGTAAGTTTAGTAACAGGTGAATTTTTACTATTAAAAACTTAGTAAAATAATGTCTCTAAAGTCGCAGCAGCATTTTTACTATATTTTTCTAGTAAAATAATATCTCTGAAGCTGCGAAAGCAGAAGTTAGCACTTTCTCCTTAAAGAGTTCTCAGAAAAGCACATTTTTGCTATGTTTTTCTTAGTTAAATAATGTCTCTGAAGCTGCAAAGATATTTTTACTATATCTTTCTTAGTAAAAAGACATTTTTAAAATTGTAAAAATACTTATTGCTATAATTTTTAAAAAGGCTTTTCCAAAGCTGCAGATGCAACTTTTTGCTATAGTTTTCTTAGTTATAAAGGCATTTCCAAAGCTGCTAAGGCATTTTTTACTATAGTTTTCTTAGTAAAAACCACTATTAAAGTTTTGAAATTAGCTTTATTATTAATTCGAATCAAATCAAATATTTGAATACTTGATTTGAATTTGATCGAATTAAATCAAAAATTAATTTGGATTTGATTAAATAAATCATTCTTTGATTTAAATTTGATCAAATCAAATCAAATATAAATTTGTATTTGTATTTAACTTGATTTTTAAATACAATTATTCAAATATCAAATCGAATTGCAAAACATTTTCACTAAGTCGCAGAATGCATGAGATATCAGTTAAAGTACAAGAATAAATAGAATATTTTAGAAATATTAAAGAAAACTTTTTCTGATCAATTATCAAATGCTACAGACTCATTATCAAATGATGAATTTGCAAAACTCTTTACAAATTTGAAAAAAGAAATAATTGGAGGTTTGAATATTTTACTAAATGGATAACTCCATAACTTTATTTACTATTGATTGTTTACTCTTTAGGTGAAAATAACGTATAAATATTTGCTAATAGTTATTATTATATAATTCTTAAAAAATCTTAGACTAAAGAGCCTACTAATTTGGAATTCAATTATGCATATATTCTGCAAAATAATCTGGATCAAGAGAATGCAAATAATTTTAAATTGCATAATTTATAGAATTTTGTATAACAAATGATCTGATATTATACAAATTTTCAAATATTTATGAATTTGTTAAAACTCATGTCTATTATATTGTTATACATCAATAACTAGTAGAGGGGCTTTTTAACAAATTAGATTTAAAGATATATTCACGTATGTTATAATTTCTTAAGTAATCAAAGCTTCAATTAACTTTTGATAAGATTGTCAAAAAAATTTGTCAGAAGAACTAAAAAATATACAATTGCAAAAAACTGAACTTAAAGTATCATCACTTCAAAATATTTAGTCACAACTATTTGGTTTTGAAGTCACATCAAATATTTTTAATAAACTATTAGACATATAAAAACAATTAATTAGTAATTGTATTTTTATTTTAATTAATAGCAAACAATTAATATTGTAATTATTGTATATAATAATTTAAGTAAAAGCTATGTTAAAATGTATTGCTAAAAAAGAACAAAAGAATATTTAATACAAGAAAATTATTTCTGCTTATATATAAATATTATATATTATAAAAATAATATTATTATAAACAAAATTTAAATTTATGCAGACAATTAATTCGAAATGATTAAGATTGATATGTGTATTTCACAGAAATCTTCAATAGTAAATTTTATTAAAGGATTATACATAATTTTGATTCAATTAGTTAACTGCGTGTCCTATTGATGCAAGCATCTTTTTTGCTGATCATGATTAATAATATCTTCGAGTTTTTTGACATTCTTATACTAACTAGTGCTATGAAGTTGATGCTGAGCCCTTGCATCTTCAATGCAATTTGATATTTTTGGAAGAAGACATCAAATTTAAGAAAGAAAGGAGATACTCAATTATTAACTTCTCATTAAGAATTTCCTTAACTATCTAGATGCATCAGATCTAAAATTTGCAATTTTTCTTAAATTCTAATTCTTTTTTAAGCTTATTGAAATACCACTCTAACTTTTTAATTCTAATTCTAAACTCAGTATTCTCAACATTACATTTCTTACTCTCTTCTACAGCCTATCTTAGAAGCTTAGTATTCCTGGACTTAAGTTCAATTCTCTCAGCCTTAATCCTTAATCTCAGCATTCTCCTTCCTAAGCTTGGCAATCTCAGCTAAGTGCTTGACATTTAATTCTCTCAATGAATCAATGAATTGTATATTTGGTAATATTTTTTTATACAAGGAGAAATAATTCAAAAATTCAAGTTAATATAGTAGTAGCTTAAAAAAAACTTTCATATATAAAAAATAATTGTTTATACTAATCACTTTTGTTAAGAAAAAAAAATATTAATATATGTCTTTTTCTTCTTAAATTCAGAAAAAAAATAAAAATTAACATTCCTTTCTGAAGATTTTAATTAAAGGAAATTTTTTGATAAATATTGCTTATAAATCACTTGATTATATATATAGTTAGAAGTATTTTCACTATTTAATTAAGATTAATCATTACATAATCTGCTTAATTTTTATCATATATAACTAGCAAAAAAGAAATCTTCTAAACTGAAGATTACCACTCCAGATTAATGAACAGTATTTCAGACTCAAAATTTCATATATTAAATATATCTTGACTTATTATAGTAATTATGAGAAATAATACTAATAATAAAACTGATTCATGTAAAATATTTACTCAAATATATGAATTGTTTAGAGAAGATATGATTTTAATGCGATATGTATTTGACGATCTATTCTGTATTTATTCAGTTTTTCGCTCAATTTGTATAGTTAGTTATACATATCTTCATCGATCTATGTATTTATGGCTGATTTCGGTAATGCATCTTGTGTAAATTGAATCTGAAGTTTACAGTCACACCTCGATATAACGAAGTTGCCGATCTAGCCGATCAGGACTTCATTATAAGAATCTTCGTTATAGCGTTAACGAATTATTCGTTATAGTAGATGATTACTGATT